AACATAAAAACACAAGATAAGCCATCACACACCATGAGTAACATATATCCAACACAACAGCTTTACTTCTTGCTTTCAATTCCTTTTTACAAAGAAAGGCTTATGACAGTTTGGCTAAGCTACCAGATATGCTGCTGGTGTGACTGTGCTAGTGCTGCAGCCCACTCACTAAATTATTTTTACCTGCTGCTGTTTACAGTGGTGGACCAGACTGAGGCTGTAGGGGAGGAGGAGTCCTCACTGGGGCACACTGCCATGTTGTACAGAGACCCCAGCACCAGGAAGGGTGCACCTGATCACACACACACACACACACACCGTGAGGGTGCACCTAACAGACACGCACTAGGTGCTATTTGAGAGGAAAGAAGGGCCTGACAGTTCAGTTTGGCTACCTTACATGCTGCTGGTGCTGAGCCACCCAAGTTATTTTTACCTGCCGCCATTTAGAGTGGTGGGCCAGACTGAGGTTGTAGGGGAAGAGGAGGCCTCACTGTGGCACACTGCCATGTTGTGCAGAGGCCCCAGCACCAGGAAGGGTGCACCTGAACACATACCATGTCACCCACCCATGTCACAAATTTCGCCTGCCTGTGGTCAGAGGTGCAGGGCCCCAGAACCCCCCTGCACCTATCTCCTTGACAGCTGGCAGGCTTTGTGGCTACAGCAGGGCCTAGCAGGCCTGCAGTTTTCACTCCCCTGTGCCTTAACACACACAGTGCCACCTATGACACAAGTTTTGCTCGTCAGCAGTTTGAGGTGCAGTTTCCCAGAAACCCCTGCACCTATCCCCTAGAAACTTGGCAGGCTTTGTGGCCCCAGCAAAAGTTACCACCCCTGCAGTTTTTACCCTGCTGTAGCGTAATATACACACGACATGAGTTTTGCTTTCACAATTTGAGGTGCAGTTTCTCCAAAACCCCTATACCTATCACCTTGAAGCTTGGTAGGCTTCATGCTCTCAGCAGAGGCTACCAGCCCGATAAGTTTCAGCCAAATCTCCAAATTGGCTCTGAATCTTCTGAAGCTGATTCAGCCAAATTGAATCAGAAAAGTGATCCAAATCTCCAAATCGAATTGCTGGCATCTGAATTGGCCAAAACCTAATCGAATAGTTCCCTATTCGCACAGGTTTAGTTTCTTAATGCAGTTTTAAGATGTGTGATGGAAAGTTTATGATAGAGGATGTATATATATAACTGTATCTCTATATATAGAAATATATTTTATTTAAAAAGAATGTATGCCTCTTGCCTGCTGTTGCAGCAACTGACCTGCAAAATACTTAACTTGGCCCTCACCACTTTCTCCCATGTGGAGTTCCAAAAGAAAACACACGTGGCTCTCTGGATTCTGTGAATGAGGGCAGAAAGACTAGAGCAGTGTGTAGCAGTATTGGCAGGACCACTGCCTTCATCACCGCCACCCATCCCCCAGCCTTATCCCTGCTAATCCCACCTTCCTTTCCTGTCACAGACCCCCACCTACCATCTGTTTCCCCATATTCTGAACCCTGTAGCTCCATCCCGGCTGCATGTCCTTCCCTGTCTCGGGCAGTGCCTCAGGCTACCTTAGGCTGTGTGGACCTGCTCACCTGGAAGGCAAAAAGCTATTATAAGCAGGCAGCAGGACACAGAAGCAGT